CCGTTTTTATAATGAATGGAGTAACTAGACAGGGTAGGGGAAGACCTGCAAGACGTTGAAGAGTATCCAGTAATTTTTTTCTTTTCCTTTTTTATAATGAGTGAAGTAACATACCACAACCACAAGTAAGACGAACTAAAAGAACTGTTTTTACATGATTCTAACTTCATAAAAAATATAAGGCAATACAACAGTGCAATGACTTTTGCGTAGAGCTTTCCGCTACACAAAAAGAGTTTCTGGGAAATGGGCCTTACTGTTTTAAAATTCGGGGACATAGATATATTTCTGACTTACTACCGCGAAATGGGGAGTTGCCTATTCATATGGACAGGACAATAAATTGTGTCTAAATTAGGGGCTATGGCTCCTACAGGCCACTAGTAAACAATATCTGTCTTGAATATTATTTTAAATCAAATAATTATTAATTAAACCGTATATGTTGTCAAGATAGACTTCATATTAGTTATATGACAATAGCCCTTTTATTAATTACTACACAAACTTCATCGATATAAATGTCTCATTACCAACACCATACAGCTAATGTAGGATTCGTCATAGGCTTCGTATGGTAACTCTTAAAATAAGTGACACTTTTAATTCCATAGTTTAAGCATTTAAATTTACACTCTTACCATTGATTGTAAAAAAGCTGTAACACAGCTAATTATGATTGGTTTTAGAAACAAAAGTCAAGCTTGATTTTAAAACAAACCATTGGGTTTAATTGAATCAGTTGGGTAGCTAAACAGAGCCCCCAGATTAATTGCAATGTACTAGAGGATAATTAATAAAATGTAAGTTATTTTAAAATATGGGTATAAAGGCTTAACCAAGTAACCAACATCAGAGCACTTGAACGTAACCTTACGCATGATTGCCGTGCGGTTCCGGCATTAGAATAGACCGCAGTATCCCTCGCAGGTGGTCAAGTAGTCAAGTTTTCTCCTCCGGGACCCTAAAGTAACAAGACCCAGAAACACGGTAGTAAAAAGTCCAAGTCTAAATTCCACAAAAATTCACTGCCACTTTCTCCAAATAGTTCTTACCAAGTTCCAAAAATTTCACTAAGTAGGGCCTATCAAAAACCTTTTTTTTAATCTGAGTTTTAAGAAGGGTATTTGAAAGCATTTAATTATGTAGTCTAAACAATATTTCTTCAGCTGAACAAGACTTTAAACAGCCATTACCACAGTACATGATCAAAAACAATTAATTTTGAGGAAAGATTGCTAGCAGGACAGAAATATTAAAGTGACAAATATCACAAATTAAGACAAAAGCTTTAATTTACCTGGTCCAGAGTGGCCAAGAGTAAAAGTAAACAACAAAACATTCAAATTAAAACAAATAAAAATACTACAAAATCAGCTTTAAACGTTCTTCAAAAAACTTTCTAGGCTAGCGTGACAACACATGTATTTTTGTAAATAACTCCAAAAATTACAGAAAGCATTTGCTCGGAATGGTCTTAAAAGCTGGGGGAAATATTCCAGCAACTTTTCCAGACCATACCAAGCCTTAAATCAAAACTCGAGGCCGGTGGGTCTTCAGGTTACCCATGCCACACCTGACTGAAAACTAAGCAAAAAAAAAAACGTGGTGCAATCGGTTGAGATGGTCACCAACAAATGACAATATTCTGTGTTATGTGATAAATCAATCAGCTGTTTGCTATGATAATGGATTGGTTATCTATCTATACTATTATAAAGAAGAGGTGGTGTCTGTGTGTGTGTGTGTTTGTATGAGCTAATCTCAAAAACTACTGAACCTACTGGGCTCAAACTGCACACACATGAAGCTACAGTTCCGAGGATACATATAGAACTATTCCCGCTTCGATATTGTCCTAGGGCTCTGCCCCGTGGGCATACAAAAATTTGAGGTGAGAGATTTAAAAGTAAATATTGATTGATGGTATCCATGGTAACAAAGAACAAACCTACAAAGTTTAAAAATGTAAACAAGCAGAACTAACAACTGTCAAATGAATTTTGATTTCTCAATTCCACACAGCTGGTTCAAACATATTAAATACTGCACGAATATTAGAACAGAGAGGGTAAGGATTATAAATTTAAAATAATGATGTCACTAGCCCGAATGTAAACATTATTTAACATCACCTAAATGGAGCTGTCAAACCATATGTTAATGTAATTTCATTAGTGTATGATTCTTTCAGTTACTTCATTTGTTTATGTTTATGATCTATTATACTGAGTTTGTACTAATATTTGTGAAATGCTGTAATAATATTTTACAGGGAATAATTCGTTGTAAAATAAATCATTAAAGAAATAATTAAGATTCTATAATCATTGCCAGGCCATTATCCTGAGTTTTATGAGGTTTATATTTTTGATTTATTTCTGTGTAAACAGCAATATAATCCCCCTGCTGCAGCAAGTCTATAGACTGAGTGTTATGTTAGCCTTATGAGTATTCATATTAAGGGAATAAAAGAATTTTGTCAGCCGTTTCAACTGTACAAGTTGGTTCTATGATATTAAATAGCATTAAAAGTAAGGCTTACCAACAGGGTGCAGCAATATTATGTTTTTTGCATTTATTACAACAGGCTAATTTGAACCAACTAGCAACAAAAGGTTGTGGTACACAATGAGAACTTTACTTTTTCCATGGTTTAGGTGCAGTTGTAGAAAATTAGGGCTATGGTAGATGTGTGCTACACTATAGGATACCGTATAAATTTAAGACCAAATTTCCTTAAACCGTGTCCTCTCCCGTAACTGCAATAAGCGTTTTATACTTCTATGCCAACCCCGTACGAAGGACGGGTACTCTGCTAGTGATTAATATTCATCCCAATACACTAGTAAACTCTAGTGAGATGGTCCTGGACTTCAAATGACTTAATCTATTTGCTTTGCTTCAAACTTTCATCACATGGGAAGTCTATTCTGTGTATAGTCAATGATGGTGACATGCTCACGAGGTCACATAAGGGGACAGGGACATAGAAGGTCAGTACAATTAAAAGCAATGGCAGATCAGAACACAACAATAAAGAAAAATTTCATTTGTGTAAGACAAAGCTCCGAATTCCCTAACCCCAAAACCAGAAGCAGAAATGACACCCGGCATGGACTTAAACCCATTCAGGATAAGGAGCTCACGTATGAGCCGTTCCCATAGGTTCGCGCCCGGTTTCTTACTCCAAGTGCCAAAATCCATGACCACTCTCGGGAACTCTGCCAGCTTTATAAACAGTATTTATTTATTTAGTCCAACGAAAGATCGCACATTTACAATGTGGATATAAGGTAACCATGTGGTATAAACATGCATGTTAACAGAAAAACTTCACATAACAAGATCAACATCGGTAACAGGAATCTGATCTTGACTAGGGTAGAGAAAGCAACAAATGTGACAATGAGGCACAAAATAACGTATGAAAAACAATAAGAACAATAACAATGAATTTTTAGAGCATAAGAAAGTGTAAAATCCACCAACATAGGTTTTTAACCTAAGGTGGTTATTGTTTTTTTCTTTTTTCATGTGTGTATTTTTGTGTTTGTTTGTTGTGTGAAAAAACAATAAAGATTTCTAAAAAAAAATTACAATGGTAAGCTAGTGTTCAACATTAGAAACACAGGAATGCATGCTCAACAACACAGACTAAAACTGTTTGAAAAAAAAACCACTATTCCGGTTTCAAACTTTTTCCAGGCACTACCAAAACAACTCCAAAACACAAAACATCCAAAAAATCTCAAAATTCAAAACATAAATCAAATCTTTCCTGACAAAAAATGGTTTTTGTGATATGAAAGATTTTCTAAATTTCACAAAACAGAGCTCTTTGGCCTAGAATGTGATTTTTATAAAAGTTATTTTTTATAATTATTGCTACCCTATTGACCTGTCCAATTCCTGCCTCTGGACTACGGACGGAAACTACAAGTACAGTATATAAGTAAGTAACTAATAAACATTCAATACAACAATAACAATATAGTAACTCTATAGCGAAATTGACAAAAACCGAAATAGTTGTGAAAAATAACAATAAATGGTGATAGCTTTATAACAAAAAAGTAAAGCACAGGTAAGCTTGACACCGAAGGAATTAATATAAACAAAATATTGTCGAAACTACCGTGTCACCTACATAATAAAATAGACACAAAAACAAGCTTCAGGTTTTACATTGGGACGAGAAGTCTATTTGTGTTAGGTACAAAAGTAGACTCTTCGTCCTTTTGTAAAATCAGAAACTTATTTGTTTTGTTTCTAGTTCATATTTAAGTCACTGATCGCATTATAGTAACGACGAAATGTTGTTTCTCTTATTTTATGGTTCATTTTGTGATTTATGATTTTGTTATATCACCACCAATTGAGATGGGGACGTAACCTGGGTGCGTATATAAACCCAAATATGAGTGAAGTATGAATGCAGAATAAAGTGTGATGATCCGTGTAGCTTTTTGTTACTGACTGTGATCAGCTGTTTCATTAGCCAGGATTAGTTTAAAGCTCAGGCTCAGGAACAGCTTGCTGGGTCCAATTTCAAACCATCAAAAAGCTACGCACTTTTCTCATTATCGAACCGGTTATTAAACATGAGGACAAGCTATTTTTGTAATTAAATCGTTCTTTTTGCTTAAACTTGTATTGAATGGCTGAAATAGTAAGAAGAAAATAAATTGTCAAAATACGCCCCTAGTTTGCGGCACCAGACGGAAATAACATTAACATTTCCTTTATTTATCTCATGCGCAAGGACATACACTTAGTATGTTTTATCCATGGTAAGAGGATGACAATTGACAAATCTACTGTGGGAGTATGTTTAATCTATCGTCTCTATGCTGTTTTATCCACGGCCGCCTTTAAAGGTGGCCGTGGTTCTATCTAACGAAATATGTGCTGTGGTGGTAGACTACATGACACCTTGTCAAGCCTGCAAAAAAGCACATAAGAAAGAAGAAACCTGGTCGGTCTGTCGGTCATCTGATCATATGGTTTTAGTTTTAGTTAGATTGATTCTACCCTACCGTTTTCGTTTTGCTAACATTTTGGTTGGAGTCTGCGTATTTTTGTCTCTCACCCCACAGCACGAAAAGAATCAGCCAAGGTGACATAGTAGATAATTAATATTTTTATTTAACTATCAATTTATGGTTCATCAGAAATATGTTGATTGCTAATGTTTTAAAATCATTACTCTCATTTTAAGGTTATACGAAGAATAGGCTAGTCCAAAAATTAGAATTTACTTGGCTCAGCCGTTACACTGCGACCTTCAACTAAAAATCTTTCTGTTCTTAGGCTATCATCAAGTAATTTTTAATAACACACTATTCGTACCTTTTACTTCTTGAGGTATTGTTTTTATATTATAAATGTTTGCCTAGGCCTAGCAAGTAAATCCAAGCTAGAACGCTAGAACATGAGCTACCCTAGGGCCACTCGGAAAAAAAATTTCATTTGACCTCTTAGCCTAGTTTGTAAAAATGTCTTTCTTTCAAGCTAAACTAACTTAACTTATAGGCTTCCTAGTAAAAATTAAGGCGCTGATGCATGTATGAACATTCTGTAACATACAATTTTATTTTCAAATGGTAGGCTACACTTACCAGTACCGGTAGGCCTACTCAATCCTTCCCGGACGGGTGATGGATATATCCACCAAGTCTTTGGCGATAAAGGACGGGTGGCTGATGTATCCACTTATGGTTTTTGATGTTCCGGACGGGAATTGGATATCCCTCCGAGTGTCCCTTGTTTTGGCCTTAATGTCTGCCTATTTTTTGCTCATTTGCAAGGTTTTATTAAAACGGATCTGAGAAGCTTGAAAACAATGTTAATTATAGGCCTACTGTTCTATATACCATTTTGTTTGAAAAATCATGGGCTTCAATATTATACATAGGCCTAAAACATAAGGAACATTTGTTTCAAAAAAAATTTTTTAGATAAACATTTTTTTGGAAAATTTAAAAAAAAAATAAGTTTGCGCTCAATGAAATTTTATAAATTATAGGCTTATAAATATTTGAAAATAGCCACTTTGTTCTAAATTTTATGATGATTAACTTACAAATATATAATAATATAGGCTAAGGAAGTAGATTTGCAAATAAATAAGTTATGGGCAAAAAACAGATTTCCGTACATAGCGTTTCTGCTAAGAATGCATAGCCTAACCATAGCTAGGAATCTGGCTGATAATTTACATCATTATCACTACCTACTTCTTCAGGATCATCAACCAGCCCTTCAAAATCACTTAAATCTTCTTATAATGCACCACGTATATTACTACTTTTGATTTTTAACATTAAAACAATGATAAACGTAATAAAACACATCAGTCATCGGTCCGAGGTTAACCAAGCTGTTTACAAATACGCACGTCAGCTGTCTGCTACAATATTTTCAGAACTAAAATGAAAAGTGCTTAGAGACAGACCTCCGGAGAAAGCTCTGAATCTGTCAAATAAAACGATACCTAACTCGATCCAGTTCAATCCGATTTTGTAAGTCATAGAGCCTTCGCCGTAAACAGTGTTTTTGTGAGTCGATGCATCGACACAAAACACTACACAAAGTGTGTTATGTGTCGATGCATCGACAAATAACATTCGGAGGGTTAAATCGCCTTCTCTTCAGACAGACTGACAAGTGCTTGAGCAGTAACCATATGTTTCGCGGTACCAAGGCGCCACTTTCCTGCTCTCTCCATGGCTGCGCTCTCTCCCGCACCTACCCCTCTCCCGCGCACCCTTCACCTCTCCTCCCCTCCCCCTCGACGTTTCGCGCTCAACATTACGTTATCTTTATTTATTACCTAACGTTCTCATCTTCAAAGCGGAAACCACCAAAAATTGTGGAAATATATGAAACTACTTTCTTAAGGCACGGAGCACATTGCACACATAGTAACAAGAAATGAAGTGTTATGGATCTAACTTACTTCGGTTGAATTGAAACTGAAACAATAAATTATCTTATCTAGGCATGTGGGAAAGGCAGGTCGGGTAAGTTTTGTGGGTTCATGGCTGAATTACAGTAAGTGTTTTAAAGTTAGGTTAGATTAAGAAGACGGTAAAGTGTAGGTTATTGGGGATCGGGTTTTATTGAAGTTACACCTATGTTGTTTTTTATCTTTTGTAATAGTTAAATGACGAGACGATAAAAAAAATTCAAGCATTTTTTAAATTGTCTCGTCGTTTGATAACTCATTCCAAAAGATAAAAAACTACATGAATGTAACCTCAATAAACAACCCGATCGCCTACAACCTACACTTTAACTTACTTAATCTAACCTACCTTCCAAGAACTTAATGTAGTCACGAACCCTCAATAAGCCCATCCTGACTTGCCCATATGCCTTTTCTCTTATGAAACCGATTCATGAAACCAACAGCAAGTTTGGTTAGCTGTGTTAGTTTAGAACAGTTTTATTAATCAAAACATAAATAGCATAAAAAATCATATAGTATAAGATAAGGGCCACGAACTTTAGTCATGTGGCGATGATTGTCTGCAGCCAATATGTTTCTTGCATTAAAAAAACATAACACTGACCTTATCTCACATGCGGCGGTAGATTCAATCATTCAAAATAATTGTGTATAAACACAGCAAAGTGTACACATCAGCTACAGAACTGCTAGTGGCGGTGTTCTGTTCACAAATTATGCCAGTAAGTGGCAAGGAGCCTGGTTGCCACGTGATCAGAGAAGCTATACACACAAACAGCTCTTGCTTAAAGAACGACCCTCGTTCGTCCAATGTACAAATATTTACCCATCTTTTGTCAAAACTACCAAAAATGGGTGTTCAATAAGGTTTTTTTTTTATTATTTTAGATGAGCTGCAGGAAGCTTGTTCCCTTTGTTACCCGCCAATTCTCCACCACAACTCGCAGACAAGCTGATGTTGTCCATCCTGGCTACAAGGAGTTAAAAGTAAAACAGGAATTGTTCCAGAAAGAAGATGGAGTTCCTGTTCATCTTAAGAAAGGTAGAGAAATATATTTAGGATTCCGCGAGATACATTTATGATTTTGCCGCGATTGCGGAAAAATGGTTTAATTCCGTCAATGCAGGAGATGTTCCCTAACCCAATCTCGCGACAGCAGGAGATGTACTGGGTTTGGTTGCTATCACGGTAGACGATGATAATGTTTCTGTAACCGTGGGAAGTATTAATGATTTTTCCACGGTCACGGAAGAGGATATAATATTCCCGTGACCTATGAAGATATTTAGGATATTGCTGCGATCATGGAAGATGATGGTGACATTTGGGTGCCAAGCCCAAGTGCAAGGTTAGGTGAAAATATCTGTGATAATGTTTATAAAGGTTTTTAGGTGAAGGGGGCCTGGTGAAAAAACTTTGTGGGGTGCCCATGGGTCCTTATCACAGCCACTGATTGGCTGAACATTACACAGTATAGGCCTATGCTTAAGACTCTGACCAAAGTGATATTAGCAAAACTGTTTTACTAGTTAGATAGTAACAAGAAGATTCCTGATTTACATCTTATTTAAATCAGTAGGAGTATTCTCATTGTGTGTAGACTGTAATGGGCCTTTCAAATAGTGTACCTAGTGAGGTCTGATTCATGTTTTAGATTATATCACTTATAAAATTTAATGTAAAAGTGACAGGCCTAACAGTAGACTTTCTTAACCCTTCGTCAGTCACACCAATGTTTTATGCAACCCGTTGCACATTTCGTGGTCTATAGATTTTATACATATTTAACACCATCTAAGTATTTCTCAACTAGTAAAAAAAAGTTGTCAGACCATACACATTCCTGTATCTATAGGCCTACTGTGCGAGCATGCCCGTCACACTGTATGTAATATTGAACTCAACGTTTTCTTTGTTGGGTAAAAAAGTTTGATTTATTTCTATATTTAATGGAATTACTAAACTTCAACTAAAATTTATTTCATACTAGTGTACCTATTGCTCGAATTCGAGCAATTGAGAAGCATTACAGGCGTTATTTTAAAACGAATAACGGTCATAATTTCCGATGACTTTATAAAAGTCGACTCAAAGATTATGGAAATACTCACGATGTACACAACAGTTAGATATAATCAAAACTGTTTGTAAATATGTTATCTTTTTTCAAAAGCTGATTTTGTTTTTTAGAATTTTCTATAAATGTTTCCCACTCATAGCCGCATTAGGTTCTCTATAATAACGATTATAAATGAAGAAAAAAAACCTTATATCTATTTCTTCTACTTGGTTGTGTTCTATGACTTTCTTATGTTTCCATTGTTTGCAAATCGGCTCTTTCAATGGTTGCTCAAGAAATGTAGCACAGTGTTAATTCAGTTGTATTTTTAGTAGGCCTATATCAAATTGTCCAGGATTTCTCGCTTTTTCCATTGTAGGCCTAATAATTACACCAACCCAAGTATCGTCTACAGCCTACGTACAATCTCCAAAAAGTGGTAAAAAAAGGCAGAAACCAACCCATACAATAGACATAAGTTAACTCCATAAGAAATAATTTTAAGTGTTACTGTGATGTTAGGATTTTCCACAGATTTGGCAATAGGACATTATATTGCTAAACATGACACGATGCGGAAGAATATTGATTTTAAAATTTTAAAAAACCATTGCAAATACTTCATTTTGACAATTCAGTAAATCACAATTTAAATATTAACAGCTGTTTCATTAAAAAGTAGTGTAAAATTATACATTATTGTCATAATGTAAACAAATCTGCCGAGGAGACTTTAAAGGCCACTGGGGCAGAGCCCCTAGGGAATTTACCACATTTCTCTATTGATGGCTCATCTACAGACCAAACCCTTTCTTTAGACACCTCTACCAAGTTTCTACGCCCAGCCGTTCTCTCAAATTAGCTGTCACAAAGAAAAACAGTTTCAAATTAATATATAGATTAAACTATTAACATTAAAAAAACACTTTTACCCTCCCTGTTGCAGTAAACCTAAGTACTTGCTAATGCTATTTAAATCTAGGGAATAAATGTGATCATTTTAAGGAGATATTATAGTGTAAATCCAATTAGGCAAATGGAAATTCGCTTAGTCTGCAGGTTTGCTGTGGCGGGGGTGTTTTATTTAAATGTTGGTGGCTCATTATAAGATTATTAAATTTACCAATTTTGATCAAAATATACCCAGCAATTAGTAAACTACCACAATTTAATTACACTCCAAGTTAAACATGGGAATTAAATTTGTAGTTTTTTTTTTTTTTTTTATCTATCTATCTATATATTAATAGGCAAGCATGTTTCTTTAAAACCTTTTTTCTCAGCTCGTGTGCATCGTAGGGAAAATCTACGCATACCGTTAGAAAGCTATTTTCCTGTAGGTGTGCAGAATCCCTTTATAAATTTAAATAGGCTCAAAGATAAGCGCAAAAAATGAGTTTAAAAATTTGGAAAAATTTACATGGATCTTATGCGTTGCCATGCTGGTGACGAAATAACAACGAAATATAAACAGAAAATCAAAACAAATGGAAGAAACTCCAATCACATGTTTTATTTACAGTGTGGGGTGAAACATTAACATAAGTGAGTACATTACATATTTTTGGTCGAGTTTCGACCACTGGACATTACTCGTATATTAATAATAGGCAAGCATGTTTCTTTAAAACCTTTTTTCTCAGCTTGTGTGCATCGCAGGGAAAATCTACGCATACCTTTAGAAAGATATTTTCCTGTAGTAAAGTTCCTGTAATTGCAGAATCCCTTTAAATTTTAAATAGGCTCAAATATAAGCACAAAAAATTAATTTGAAATTTTCAAAAATTTAACATGGGCTTTAGGGGTTGCCATTCTGGTGACGAAATAACAACCAAATATAAACAGAAAATCAAAACAAATGGAAGAAATTCCAATCACATGCTTTATTTACAGTATGGGGTGAAAATAGAGAAACCTGAACCTTAACATTCCATCTTTGACTATTAACAATGACTAGGTGAAACCCGTCAAAATCGACGGGTACTTTCAAGGCTTATGTTAATTCATCTAACTGCGATAAATTGGGTGAAATACACATATTTTGAGCATTTAGCATTGTTTAAAGGGTAATAAGTTAGTGCAAAAACAATAATGATTTTAATTGCGTTAGTTGCCAAATTTGGTTGATCATTCAATGATTAAAATATTTCCCCTACAGTATGTTACCGTATGTTATATGATATCTCTTCCTTTGGAAAAAACCTTTAAATAGTATTAGAATCGTATTGGTGGGTCTTTTGTAGTTAAACACTTCTGTGATTTCATCAGTGTAATATGATTTTATTTTAAAAGAAAATATTTTTTGGGGAGACATATTCTAACTTCAAAAGAAGGTATATCAGTTACAGTGCAAGTTTGATTTTTCCTTTGTCACGTCACGTCAGTTCATATCGTACTTCTATGCCAAGAACGAACCCTCTAGCATAGTTTTGAGAAATTTACTGTGTGGTTACTATTAAAGCTGGAATTCCTTGATATGGGGGATGTCAGTTTGTTGTCTCAGCCTTATCAATAACATAATGTTATCAAAATAATCTCTCTACGGAATGTTAGGTGTAGTGGAATACTTGAAGTGAAGTTGGCTTTTATTCTTGAACTGTTAGGGGCCTCCTTATTTATATGGTCTTGGCGGCTTCATTGGCAACAAATAATGCAAATGACATAGCAATGGGACATTTCGAAAAAACAAAAATACTGTAAATTGGCTGTTACGTATATATTGACGTTTACATATTGGTAATCAACGTATCTTATAAAGGATTATGTGATCTAGTTTAAAGGAATATGAACTTTCTGTCATGACAGTAGCTGCTTAAATCGTATTTTCTCTTTGTACCATATTTTGCAGCCAAAATGTAGTGTTATTTTCAATAATGTTACCAACCCAGTGCGCCAAAGTCCGTAATATAGGCAGGTGCAAATAATTTGTCAAGATGGGTACCATTTTAGGCAAGGTTTCTATGTTTGGATTTTATTAGACACGATAAGAGCAGATATTTCTACATAAATATTTGATATGTGTAGAATAATATGATAAAATGTAGGCAAAAGTGGTGAAAAAGGCAGACACCAACCCGTACAATAGATATAAGATAGTTCAATAAGAAATAATTTAAGAATTGCTGTGATAAAAGGATTTTCCACTGATTTCGTAATGGAACGTTATAGTACATAACATGACATGATAAAAAGGAAAATTAATTTTAAAATTAGAATATAACATTGCATATACTTATTTGGTACAATTCAGTAACTCCCAATAAATATGTGAAATATAGGCTAATTTAAAATGAACAGCTGTTTTATTAAAAAGTATTATTCACATGGCCAAAATGTAAACAACTCTGTGGAGGGTTCTTTAAAGGCTTCTGGGACAGAGCCCTAAGGAATTTTGCTTAGTTTTTCTTTTGATAACTCATGTACAGACCAAGACCTTTCTTTGGACACCTCTACCAAGTTTCTACGCCCAGCCGTTCTCTCAAATTAGTGGGGACAAAGTTTCCAATTAAATATTTAAATTTCCCCATGTTAATCTTATGGGAGAAAATCCAACTTTGATGGCCTGTGGGGCAAAGCCCGAGGATTTTTATTACAGGAATTGGTGAAAGGGGGCGTCTACACAAAAAATACTTTATTTTGACACGTCGTTTGTTAAAATCCGTCCATTATTAACAGAGGAGTAGTGTTTTGTAGAAATCGCCTTCACGTATTATATATAAGGATTCCATCCCCATGTTAATGTTGTGACAAGTTTTTTTTTTTTTTTTTTTTATTAAATTCGTCTTAGTTGATGTGAGCCACCAACAGACTGCACTGATCTAAATGACTAAATTTCTGTCGAATACACGATGGTTTTTACCAAGTCAAACTGTTTGAATGAGATATAGCAACTGTTATGACCCATCAACTTTGTCAGCAACAAAAAATAAGGAATAAAATAAAATTTAAGACACCTTCTGTGAATGGCTCACACAACTACATGTTTTTTAATAAAATAAAAATGGTGACAGCTGGTCCATATAGATGGGAAGTCTACCTCAGTATCCAATATTCAATATGTGTACGTTACATGTTTTTGGTCGAGTTTTCGACCACTGGACGACCACTAGTTTATATTAATATACGGTACCCAATGACATTCAATATACTTTTTTAGCTCTACAAAATGGTTTGGAAAGAAACTGCAATATTTTATTTTTGAGGGGGGAAATGGGAAACCCCGAAAACCCCCCATAAAATGTTTGAATGCCTAATATTTAATAGACACATAATAATAATATTAGCACATTAGCTACCAACTATACTCATCCCTCAGTTACAGAGTAGTGTGATGGTCGGTAGAGAACGTGTTAAATTACCGGTACGTGATTTAAAATCGAGCTAGGTGCGATTAGTATAAAACTTAGAAAAAGTACTGCTTTGGTATATTTGTGTTTTATTTTTCAGGTGTAGTGGATTCAATCGTTTACAGGTTCACAATGGGCCTTGGTGTCTTCGGAGTTGGTGCCAGTCTTTTTTCCTTCTACAAACTTGCAACCGGTCAAAAGTAAAAGATCTTCATCAAAAGATCGCCAATTGAAAAATAGGATAAATTATTACTTGTTAAATTTAAGAAAATAAAATTAATGTAGACCTAACGTAAATGGGAGTTTATTTACATTCTTTGAAATCATTAGGCCTAATTTGAGTTAGCATTTGTCCTTTTGTGTTCAATTAGTATATTAATATCTTACAAATTGCCATGAGTGACAAACAATGTAGGCCTATCCTACAAAGCTGCTTCAACTTGACTCTAGAAGAAAATATTTAATTTTTCATATCATGTACAGTGAATTATGTAATGGTCAACTTTTTAGTTTTTACCATGTAAAATGTTTTGGTCCTTGCAATTAATTTAAGTTAATATTCAAACAGTACTGTTGAGAATTATTCTTTTATATGTGGGCTAGTGGGACCTGTGACATTTCACATGAAGAAGATTGAACCATTGGCTATTGGATACTAAAGAATAGTATCAATAGTCAAAGATTGAACTGTCTACTTTAGTCCAGGCAACTTTTTAGCAGAAAAACACATTTATAAGCCAAATTCAGTACAGTTGTCGGGGAAGGGTCCTTAAAAAAAACATACTAAAAGTACTGATCACTGGGGGTGGAGCTAAGGGAGCTAGGGGGCTCCAAAGGTGACTGTACTCTTTCTTACCTTACATAAACCTAATCCTAACACGCTTTGTGAAACCAAAGTATGAATCACTACCATAGCCTTAATGTGATTTGGCGTGCAAGTCATGTTTTCTGAGTTCAACTACTAGGTCTGAGGGTTATGTTGGGAATACCAATGTTTTCATTGGATCTTCAACTTTGAACTCAAAAGAAACTCAAATTTGATAACGCGCTTTATGTTATGTTAATTCCCCTAGAGGTATAACTTTAATGGTGTTTAATTTTTCATGACATTTACTTTCTAAAGATAATTTGTGGAATAGTGTTTCGATAAATGATATGAATGGGTTAGTGGTAAGTGCTTTATTTAAAATATGTTGTATTTCAAATGATTACTTACATTTTATTATACAATTTAACTCTAACTAGTCTGAATCTCAATTGTTCAGTAAATATAAATAAAATGTATACAACACGCAGCACAAAGTGATTAGGGGATTAGGTCATGTAAGAAAAGAGTACAGTCAAGGTCAACATTTTGCACCACGGCCTATCTGGCGCACCAGCCAAGGGCGAGCAGTTTGCCTGCACCCAATTTGAGACTTTCTCCACAGTCACAGAATGCTGGTTGCTTTGTCCGTTGTCAAGGTGTTCGACCAATCACAATCTGGACCGGTTGGTCAGCTGATCAAGGGCTGCCTCATTTGAATAAAATTAGCTCATATCAGTAAACATCAGTTTCCACATAACTCTCATACACTCATAGTCCAATGCACCATCTCTCCTACCTTTATCGGATTTACACGATGCCAGTTGGCGAGACAATTGTCTTTGCCAATTGGCATCACAAGGTTTTGGAATTGTCGTAGGCCAGTCCAGTTGAACGCGGACCTGTTCACACATGGCCGACAATTACCTAGGAAATTGAGGGTTGGCACATATACATCAGCTGATCCACATCCGGACTTGGCACTTTTTTCAGTTTACCCATCTCAATGTTAAATGTACTGTGAAAAACCTTGATTTTTGCTTTTACCTCAGCTACACCAAATCCTTGGGCGTTAATTTTCTGAAACTGTGGTGAGTGCCGTCTATCGAGCATTTCTGTCTCTGTATAATTCACCTTTTTGGTCCCTAGACACCTTTGTTCTTTGTATAATTTGGCGAATTTTAAATTCATGTCATTGTTCCACTTTGGTCCCATCTTTGCTAGTGAAAGAAACAACACAACACACGCTTCAAGTGACGAAAGGGAACTAGTGTACTAGGTACCGGTACTACTGTCAGGTAAGGAGGCAAGACAGCGCTACTGGACTGGCCTACACCGTCTACACAGCGCCAATTGTGGCGACAACTGGATTTTCGAGGGGTGGGGGGCCTCGCTGGGCCCAGCTCATTGTTCTCAGTCTACTCCCGTAGACAACTGAATTTCGGGGAAATTGGCGGGCCAATTGGCCTGAAGTGTTTACACAAAGCCAGTAATTTCAAGCCAGTCAGTTGTCTCACCAACTGGCATAATGTAAACCCTCATAATAGTGTATCTGACCTCATAACCACAAAGTTAATATTTTTCATAAAAATATAACTAACTTATGATCTCAGCTTCATAAATAAATATAACTTGGAGATAGTGGGGAAGATACTCAAGAAAAGTCTTACAGTTAAGTATTGAACTAAAATTGTATTTAATGTTTTCTTTTCAAAGAGAAATTATCACAATATCAAAGCAAAAACATTTAAAGGTTTTAATTAGTTGTCTTTGGTACATGATTGTACAAACAAAAACGCATACCCCTTAGTTTTGGAAGCTATCTGAAGCTCGAAAACTGATTATAACAGACTAAAGATACAATCCAATTAATTAACCTACGTTATTCAAAAACTAAAACACCTTCAATAAAAACAGTGATAAATTTTTGGGTCAGTCACACTTAAGAACTAACAAAATTGCCTCATTTAATCACAAAATATATTTACAACTTTAAAAATTAGATTTAAAGAAAATGCAGCACCTAAATATTACACCGCAACCAGAAGTCTAGTTCAAACTCTATTTCAATATTTGATCAAATGAAATGATTTGATGACACTAAAACAGTTTTATCATTCGATAAAGATATTAAAAATTGAACATTTCAAAACTTAGGAGAAAGGATTCATAAAATTGAATCCTGAAAAAATGTAAATTATAATGTATATTGTAGTCTCTAAAGTAACATTTATATTACAATTTACAAATCTATTAAAAATACCTATTTTCCAAAACAAAATTGTATTTATTTGTGCTGGTATTGCAATTGTTTATGATACATGAGAATATTTAACTGCCATCAGTTATAATGTTGCACGATAACATAGACAATAGACGACAACAAGAATAATAATTTGTTTATAATGCGTTTGGTTGGTAATCCACTCAAAACATGATTTTTTAACGAATCTTGTAAGCCTGATTGAAGAGAAAGTTGGCAAGCCTTTATAAAGTAATTGTTTATCATTTCAGACAATTTTTTGTGTAAAAATAAAGATAAGCAGCAACACATGTCAATTGACCCAAAAATGTTGAAATTAATCAGCATTGAGCCTATTTTCAAGATGATAAATTCACTATACAATTTATTTTCTATTCCATTGTGAAATTTTACATTGTAAACTCAATAGCTTCTTCCCCATAGGGGAAATTCACTTATTAAAGGTAAACCACAAATCGGTTCACATGCAACATTATAACAGGGGATTTAGAAGAATAACAAAGACAGGTAAATGTACACTAGATGATACACGGAAAGAAGTCTGTGGGTTTGCCTGCTGCCTTTTTCTTTGTCAAGTAAAAATGGTAAGAGACAACTTATCTACTGGGTAAGTTGTTACTTACCCAGTAACTTTGTTTGTTAACAAAGTTTGTATCAACTTAAACTAAAAAAAATCATTTTCTTTTTCTTACTTTTTAAAAATAATACTTTAAACTTCACTTTAAAAAATATAGTAGCTTGTAAATAACAAAATTGACTTGAAAGTAATCATAATCATCATTTAGATAGAAGTATCGCGTTACACTTACTATTTTCGAAGTATAATGTCAACCTAATGAGGCACAACAGCTGTACTTCGTGGATGTTTGTAGGAAGACTCACAATCAGACCCCATATCACTCCTGATATCATTGTTCGCAGGATTTTATTACAATAAACATTTAGAGAACTAAACACTCACAAAACACTGAAATTTACAATCAACCACAGGTAGCGGAAAAGTCTTACATACAGTGGAACTCCAATTATCCAATTAATTGAGACTTTGATGATAAAAAATCCGGATGTATGCATTGTTAAAGAAAAATTATTTGAACCAAACAACATTAACAAGAACAAGTATTTTCACACTAAATTATATAATTTGTGTCAAACGTCACTCAATAGATTCACCACAGATGGACACCGAATGGAAATTAACTTTTTTGCTGATTTCTCTTAACGTTGACGTGATCTGGATTATAAACAAACCGGATGATTTGAGTTCTACTGTACTTTAATTTGTATAGCAATATTATGATATTTTAAACTAAACACACTTGAACCCACAGACTTCTTACACTGAAGTGTTGATAACACAGATACTATCAATCTCACTAAGAGTCAACTAACTACTGAGTCGACTATTATCAACAATAGGAGAGCGAGCGTGGAGACTTGAGATCACTGTACACCGTCCGAGTCAGAGTGATACATTGTCAGACGATTAAGGTACCAAACTCTAGGTCTTAGATTACATTAGTGGCTAATTTCAACTGTGCTAGTATACATTGGGTTCCTGATAAGAACATTTACAAGAACAATGGTTGAGAAAGAATGATCAAGCCCACTTGAAGGAGAGGTAAATATGGTTAAATTGATAGAAATTTAGGAGTGTTCCTAGCATAACAAAACCTATGATACTTCGATACTTGTCAAATTAACTTAACAATTAAAGAGCAGGTTTTCTACAGTGTTTGTCCACCTATTTCACTGTACAAAATATTTCAACTTATTTGGGTGAGTTCTAATCAGTGTAAATTAGTACAATTTGAAAAATATATATATATCAGATAAACTTGTTTTTCAACCAAAGTGGTAATCATTTTTAGCAGACAAACAAGATTTTTTGTAAAAAAATATATAAAATGACCACTGTAAAGAAATGTTTAAAAACTGTATCATAAAAGATCTACAACAATTTATATATTACTTTTAAAGGCAGAAAGTGAGCTTAACACTCCTTTTCAGTGAAGAACATCCTACATGAAACATTGTACCTAGTATAAATACAAATTTAAAGAATCTATAATTATTTAATACATCTTACTATTAAATTTAACCTACACAATCATAAATTTTCTTGTATTTTATGTTTAAAAACACTTACACTTAAGTATCAAAGCTATTAGGTTTAAAAAAAAAACATTTTAATCGCTCTAAAAATCAATCAAATTCAATTAGAATGTTCATAAGTTTTTCTTAAGCAATTAGTTTTTAATATGCTAAACCAATTATGTGCAACTTTTCACTGTATATACTACTTGAGTACAATCTATTGCTGAAATTAGAATACACAGACTTTTATTTTTATTTATTAACAAAAAGAAACTATCAATATGATAGGCAAAAAAGCCAAATATTTTAAACCAAATTAAAAATATTACTCCTCCCATAGGTCTATTTAAAGATATTGACATTAAAACATAACGTAATTTCAATTGTGACACTATCAGTTCTGCATTTCAGGCATAGCTATTTGAGGTTATATAAATGAGTGGTTATAAAGCTCGCCTGGTAATCAAACAAAATACTCTGTTCTGAGGAAAGGGAGTAGCTTTTCGATTGTCCGAAGCTGGACTCAGTTGCCCTTGATCATTGAGCTTCTAATAAAACGATCCTGGCTAAGGAACATCTGGTCATAGTCGGAGATAAAGCTGCACAGATCATCTCACGCCATTCTTCTCTCACCCTTCATTCGTATTCAGGATGAAATACGCACCAAAGTGTGCGTGGCTGTCTCCAAAAATTAGATTGGAATTTAAAATATTAAAATTAAAACAATTATATGTTTCACAATGTTTCTGATCTTATTATCATATTAAATCACTCTGAAAAATGATTTGACTCAAGTATACAGTCAATAGTACTATACACAATAGTTCAGTATACATTTAACATATTGATTATTATAATAATGAACAGGGTACAGTATAATAATAATAATAATAATAAAAGTATAATAACGTCCAAATAGGTGGGACAAATAAATACAAAACATACATCAAAGGATTTAAACTTAAGCCTGTTCCAAATAAATATCAAAATAACACAGGTTGAATCCAAAATCAAATCTAGTCTAACATATAAATTAATGAAAATCAATACAGTCAATCAATTTACAAATCACACTTTAGGACTGGTGTATGAGGTCATATATACAGTTTTTTACCACAAAAATTTTTGTTTAGGCCACATTGTAAAATCTCTACCCTACTCTTCAGGTTTTGTTTGTCTGGCCGAGACAGGATTCAGTTATAACAGCACTCGCTCTCTCCCCCAAACACAAAATTTCTCTGAAACATAAAAATGCTAAGATTAGCATATTTGAAAAACTAACTGTTAATCTAAATCTACAGCATTCAGCAGATTTTTTAGAAATGTTAAACACTTTACATACTTTTAGAACGGATGCTTTGGCTTAGTTGTGTCAAAAAGTAAGAAAGAGCAACCAGATTTACCATGATGTAAGTTTGTTTCTGTTTCTACACTTTTGTACTATCTTGAAAAGTTCAGTGGATAGAGCAAATAGGAACCATAATAAAAAGTGACTTGCACACTTAGTTAACCTCACTTGCTGTTGAAATTTAATTGAATAACAAAATGCTTAATATGTAGACTAACTTATATTTCTCTTATCTCCCGCCCCAGTGTATGGAAAACAGATTTTTTTCAGTTAATAATTTTTTTTTGTCCTAGGACGCTAGGCACGAGCCAGGAATTGTTTTTCACATTACTTCAGGCTAGACCTAGGGGTTGCGGCATTATCACGTGGATAAAATTCATTGGTGATTTGGTGTGATTTGAACTCGGGACCTCTGGAACCGAAGTCCCGCGCTCTAACCATTAGATCAGCTCGCTCCCCCAACAGTTAACAATACGGTCCTTAATGTTTCAATGCAGCACCGTTTTAGTGGCTTTATGTCTTCTTTATCGTAACACTGATGTCACTCAATGTTTATATTCATTAATTTGCTGTCACTGATAGAAAAAAAATAAATTATCACTGAGTTGGTGAGTCGGTGGCTCAGTCGGTAGTGTCACGGACTTGAAACCCAAGGCTGCAAACGGACTGCCGCAAACATTTCATCATTTTTTCTTTGCTGGATACGTGCCACGCACAGGTAAATAGTCTATGTGGACGGGCAAATGCAAGGTTAAAACAAAAAGCCGCCAACCCCTTTAACCCTTTTGATACTAGAATATTTTTTTGTAATTTTCCAAAAAATGCTAGATTTATTTACTTATTTCGTTTGAAAAGTGCTAGGCTGGCCACGGGGGCAAAATCTAGTGTGCGAGAAAAAAAACTGTAAAAATAAAATTTTTCATCTCAAAAGTGCTAACGCATCGTTCCTTAGATATCGGGCTTTGATTGTATGAGGAAACGAAAGAAACCATCGCGGTTTCGAAATAACAACCAAGTCGACGGATATGCTTAATTAAACTCACAAGATCAAAAGTCACGCCGGCACGATATATCGTTGCTTAGCGCTTTTCGGATGAAACGTGAACAATATATCGTTCTATAGCACTTTTTGGGAAAAAGACGCACAGAAAGGGTTAAAAAAGTTTTGTTTAAACTAGAGCTTGCCTATTTTATTTATCAGTTGCATTGAGTCCGTCACCGCGCGTGGTATGGCCAACAGCGCATTAATTTATGTAAATGTTTTCGTTATTGTACCCGTGTTCGTGTGTTATGTGTTGACTATTTGTGTATTGACTACGACGTTGTGCTCCAATAATTTAATGAAGCAACAGGCTTGACGATGAAACCGTGGTTTCAAAACTAGTCGCCCAGACTACAAATTTAGGATTGATGATGTAATAAGGTATGTAAACCTATTTTATATTGTAGAGTTTGCCCCGTGGTTGAAAACTCGATTGTGCAAACTTCTCTATTTTCACCCCACGCTGTACATAAAACATGTGATTGGAATTTCTTCCATTTGTTTTGATTTTCTGTTTATATTTTGTTATTTCGTCACCATAACATGGCACCACCATAAGGCCCATGTAAAAATTTTTAATTCTTTTATTGTGCTTACTTTTGAGCCTATTTTAATTTATAAAGGGATTATGCACATCTACAGGCAAATATATTTCTAACAGTATGCATAGATTTTCCCTGTGATGCACAGGAGTTGAGAAAAGGGTTTTCAATAAGCATGCTTGTCTAATGTATATTAATACATAGAACTATCCCTAAGTTACATCTCCATAAGAAAAGTTGAACTCCTTAAAATTACATAGGCGTCCAGTAAGGTGTTACCTGCATGTGTGTGGTGCTACCAGAGCCTATGTAGGTGAAGGTTGCGACTGAGCACTGAGCGCACGTCCTGGGTGAACCTGAGCGCATCCAGCATCGGCAACAGGTTTAGCAATGCTGTGTCCATCGGGTCACTGAACCACGACTTTATAGGAATAGCGTTGTCTGAAACATGCACAAATACATTCAATAACAGGTTGTGACTGAGACTGAGCACATAAAAAGATAAGTAAACTTAGGAGGCAGTCAGAGAGGGTATAGACAATGGCCAACGTGACGTTCTCCTAGGAAATAGTATGGTATTAGTATAACCTGTAATAGCAGTCGCCAAGTCACATCTTGGGTATAACAGACACTTGCCAACATAAGCGCAGATTCAGTACCTATGTTGCAAAACTCTGAACCCCGACACCACAAGGAAAAGTAATGAATCATTAGCCAATATTTTAATTGATGTTTTAAAATATTTAACAGTACCTAATATCCTTTCTACAGCATTCAAATCACACAGTAAGATTAGCATATGTTGGTTTTAATTTCATTTATTTAAAGTGTTTTGTTTCTGATATCTAGGTTAAAAAAAATAGTAAAATAACCATCTATATTTTTAAAATTATTGGTTTTTTATCCCGAGTCGGTTCGGCTCTTCTACATGACAGATTTTCATAATTTTGGTCTTAAATTAAAGGTATGCAAGCACAGATTTTCCATCAAGCATTATCATTCATTTTTCTACTGTATTACTCGACCAAAAAAAAATAGGCCTAAATTAGATTTTTGTTTTTATTCTTACTTCAATCAACAATAACTATAAACTCCTAGAAATAAAGGATTTAATTTGAAATATTGATTGTTTAAATCAGTTAAGTTCAAGATACTGTATTACTCAACTAAAAAACATAAATTTGTTTAAATTGGAGATATTGGCAATTACTAATGAAATGTATACCGTAATTAAATTTACAAGTTCAACAAGGCCAATATATAATAATTTTATTTTATTCACTAGCGCTTTCAGAAACTAGGTTTCCATCTTCAGGCACTAGTCCACTGGTACAAAAAGTAAATATTTACTTAATAATAAATTAATTCTAAACAAAGTTAAAACAGATGTTGTAAAGGACATCGGAAAAATATATAAAAATTAATATTAGAAAAATAATCTTTTAAATTTTTGATATATTACAGTGTTGTTCTTGATGTAATTATTTTCAGTACAGTAATTCCGAGTTTATAATTGAGGCGTCTTCATTGTTTAATTTTGATCTGTTTTTTCTATAAAATAAGATTCCCACGTATTAAGATGTTGAGGTTTTATAATTTGTTTTAAAAGTTTAAGGTTTCCCAAATTGAAAATATATCCTGTATTAACACTGTAATATATCCAAAATTCAAAAGATTATTTTTCTAATATTAATTTTTATATATTTTTCCAATGTCCTTTACAACATTTGTTTTAACTTTGTTAAGAATTAATTTATTATTAAGTAAATATTTACTTTTTGTACCAGTGTACTAGTGCCTGAAGATGAAAACCTAGTTTCTGAAAGCGCTAGTGAATAAAACTATAGTTCGGCCGCTTAGAAAACGACCTGAGCGCTAATGCTAAACCAATGCTGGAGGAGGTCGCTTTCTAAGCGGCCGAACTATAGGTGGTGTTTGCAGATGCATCCACAAAATTGAGCGGAGTCATCAAGGGTTCATATTATATTGTTTTTGTTATACTGCAGTAAAAACAGTCATCATTGGTGCATGCGTATCGGGTCTAAAGTAGCATTTTTACTCTTCAGGGAGTAAAAATCGTTTTAGCCTTTATGGAGTAAAACTCAGCTGTTGTCAACTCAGTTGTAAATTTCTATTGTAAACGATTGAATCCGTATAGAAATATGTAACGATTCGTGCTTCATAATCATTTTAACCTACAGTCTACTAGTGTCTTCCCATACGTAGCATTTTAGCATTGCAGATACATTAATCCATTCCCACACTCAACACTGCCCACCTTTACTACTTCCTTCACCACCCCCACGTCGTGGACCTGTTTCCCTCTCTTCCCATAGCATTTTGGGATTGCAGATACATTAATGTAATTGCCAAAGACAGTACACACCCAAAGATTGCCCACACTCTGTACTGCAAGCCTTACTACTTCCTTCACCATTTCCTACGTCATAGACCTGTTTAATTTCCTACGTCATAGACCTGTTTCCTTCCCTTCTCATAGCATTTAAGTATTAGATACATTTATCTAACTGCCCCAACGGTTCCCTTACTCTGCACTGCCAGCCTTTACTACTTCCTTCACCCCTTCCTACGTAGTGGAGTCTGTTTCCTTCCCTTCTCATAGCATTTTAGGATTGAAGATACATTAATCTAACTCCCACAGACGGTTCTCATAATATGTTCATACTTTACTACTTCCTAAGCCACTTCCTTCGTCGTGGACCTGTTTTCATCACTTTCCATAGCATTTTAGTATTTTAGATACGTTAATCTAATTGCCACAAACATTGCCCACACTCCGCACTGCTAGCCTTTACTACTTCTTTCACCATTTTCTATGTCGTGGGCATCCATCCCTTTTCATAGCATTTCAGCATTGCAGATACATTAATCTAACTGCTAGAAACGGTTTCCAGTTCCCAAACTCCACACTGCTCACCTTACTACTTCCTTCACCTCTTCTTACGTCGCAGACCTGTTTCCCTCTCTTCTCATAGAATTTTAAGTTGTAGATATCTTAATCTAACTGTCATAAACAGTTCCCACACTCCGAAAAACTCACCTTTACTACTTCCTTCATCTCTTCCTACGTCACAACTTGTTTACCTTCCTTCCCTTAGCATTTTAGGATTGCAGATACCTTAATCTAATCGTCATAAACAATTCCCACATTTTTGAAAAAATTGGCCTTTACTGCTTCCTTCATCACTTCCCACGTCACGTACCTATTTACCTCCCTTTCCATAGCATTATTGGAATGCAAATACCTTAATCTATTGGTCAAAAACAGATCCCACACTCAGGACAGCTTTCCTTGACTACTTCCTTCACCACTTTGTACATCGCGGACCTGTTTTCCTCCTGTCCCATAGCATTTTAGGATTGTAGATACCTTAATCTTAGTCATGAACAGTTTCCACATTCCGGACAGCTCGCCTTGACAATTTCCTTCATCACTTCCTACGTCGCGGACCTGTTATCCTCCCTTCCCATAGCATTTTAGGATTGCAAATACCTTAATGTAATGGTCATAAACAGATCCTATAGGACCCCGAACAGCTCACCTTTACTACTTCCTTCACCACTTCCTACGTCGCGGACCTGTTTCCTTTCCTTCCAATAGCATTTTACGATTGCAGATACCTTAATCTAATTGTCATAAACAGTTTCCCACAATCCGGACAGCTCGCCTTGACTACTTCCTTCACCACTTCCTACGTCGTGGACCAGTTTTCCTCCCTTCCCATAGAATTTTAGGAATGCATATACCTTAATCTAATCGTCATAAACAGTTCCCACACTCCGGGCAGCTCGCCTTGACTACTTCCTACACCACTTCCTACGTCACGGACCCGTTTTCCTCCCTTCCCATAGAATTTTAGGAATGCAGATACCTACCTAAATCTAATCGTCTTAAACAGTTCCCACACTCCGGGCAGCTCACCTTTACTACTTCCTTCACCACTTCCTACGTCACGGACCTCAAGCTAGTGTCGTCATTTGATTATAAAGAAAATGTATGATCCATACCACCGTTTATGTTCTATTATCTGTGGAATAATGCTATCAGCTATTTATTTATCTACTGCATTCAAAAGTCATCAGCTGATCATATGTCTTTGTTTATGTGTCAAATACTTCTTCCATAAGGATTACATTGAAACTTTGAGACCCAGTGGGGCGGATTCCTGAGAGACTTTTTTAACACCATATAGATGTTGGCACTCAACGATATGGTCTTTATCACCATGCAAAATTTGAAAACGATTGATTCAGCCGTCTAGGAGGAGTTTGCGTATTACGAAATGCATAAAAGTCGACGTATAAGAGCTTCGCTCGCTCCGCTCAATAAAATTATTATATATTGGCCTTGTTGAACTTGTAAATTTAATTATACATTTCATTATAAATTTGATTATTTATCGGATACGGAAAACTATTTTAGACATATTTTACACAATCAATATTCTAACTACGTTATCGTTATCCTTCTGTATGTTTTTATCCAAGAACCTTGAGTGAAATACCAGCTTTCATTTGTGTTATTGATTATTGAGATCAGACTATCTAAAAGCAACCTGCTGAAGATGTAGATTTCGACGGGTTTCACCTAGTATCTCTTAAAACTTTTAACGCAAATGTGGCGAATCTTAAAACATAAAACTTTTAATTTGATGAAATCCTTGATTCAAATACGAACAATAGTTTGATAGCACCCAATTTCAATTTTATACCGTAATTGAGTGGTTTAAACCCACAAATCAATGGGTGTCAGTGCTGCCGCAGCACTGTCCTTCCTTGCTGACCTTCCAGGTCTTGTGTGCAACTCTAGTTTGTACAAAACAGTTGTCTTACCAGGATAAGCTCTGTAGGCTCCTGGGGAGTTGTCTAGGATGAAAACATTGGCCAGATCCCCAGAAATGGCTGACAAGTCCTTGGTGTAACTGCCCAGGTCGGGGGTGCAGTGTTGTCTATAGTATCTGTAACAGACAATCGATAGTTAATTATTGGTCAAAGACCCACACGCTCACGTGCAGACAATGCAATAAATAACTGGTTAAAATACATTTTTTCAATAATTTTTCAGCTGGCCAAACGCAAACATTGTTTGTTAAAAATGTTTGGTTCATTTCAATGCTGGTTTCATTGAACATTGCTACAGTTTGATTACACTGGGTTATTTTCTCAAAACAAATGTTTTTATTGGGTGGATCAAACAAATTAGCTGTGTATCAAAATGTATGTATTTCTGTGCAAATTAGGTGTTTTTATTTTGCACTATGGTTCACCATAGTCTCGTTAGGGGGCATGAAATTTTGCATACCCAGTAATTATTCAAACCTTATATTATTTTATGGATCTCTACACCTTGCCCTTAAGAACTTTTTTCCACGGACGCACATTATCTTGTTCTCTGGAAATTACCTTCGCCTCAGAATTCCTCGGTTGTTGTCCAGTTTATCGGCAACTGCAGCACCGTAAATCTCCATGCTCGCTGTGAACACAACTAGCTCATACCATTGGGATACCTGAAACAGACCATTTAATCACGCATCAGAATTCTGTATAAAAAGTTAGCTAAATAAAACGTTAGCCCTTGTGCTTTATGTTACATACTAAACATCAAACTTGTTTTTAATTCAAGTGTCAAAATGCCAAGAAGTCATAACCATAGCAAAACTCTCAATATTTTCATTCATTAAAGGCATTTAGCTCCCTTGCTTAAAATGAGCTCTTGTAGTAATAAACTTGTGTCCTTTTGCAACACTCATAATGAATAAATCATTGTTGTTATTGGTTGAAATTCAATATTTATAGTTAACAACACTGAACATATTGAAAACTCGGCCAGCCAGCTCTGTTAACCGGGCCAAATTAGAAACTACGTTTGTCACTCACAATGTCTAGGAAGTAGTCAACGTGCGGCCGCTTGTGGACAAAGAAGCGTACGGGATGCCTCTCTATTGTCACCTTAAGTACAAAGTCTGGTGGAGTCCCTGGCTTTACTGTTTGTCTCACTACACCCTCATGGTGTGAATGTATCAGAGTCTCGTCTAGATCCAACACTAACACCTTGCGCTTCACCAGACCTACAACACAACAGAGTACGGTATTGAACTTACCCATTATCAAATCCGACAATGACTTGAGTTTGTAACGTACAAAAAAGGTATTTACTGTGTATTTACTTATACACGTAATAAGACAAAAATTACCTTCAAATGTGCGATTTGGGTCTCTACAGAGAAAGAATGTTGGTGTCTATGAATAATTACTACTAGAGGTCGTCCAGTGGTCGAAAACTACACCAAAAAATATGTAATGTACAGACTTCTCTATTTTCACCCCAAACTTTAAATAAAACATGTAATTGGAATTTCTTCCATTTGTTTTGATTTCCTGTTTATATTTCGTTGTTTTTCAGTCACCAGCATAGCAACCCATAAGGCCAATGTACATTTTTTTTAATGTTTGAATCCATTTTTTGTGCTTGTTTTGAGCTTATTTTTATTTATTAAGGGATTCTGCACATCTACAGGAAAATACCTTTCTAACAGTATGCATAGATTTTCCCTGTGATGCATACGACCTGAGAGAAAAGGTTTTAAAGAAATATAGTGGTTTAAATTACCTTGGGTCAAATTACCCTGTCAAATTTTTGCAGAAAACAATATGCCAGAGGAGGTACTGCTATTTATGTGAAGAATGTTCCACTCTTCAAAATAAAGGTAATCGATCTCTCTAACTTCTGTGTGGAGCTGTTTCTTGAGCTGTCTGCTATTGAACTAGTTGATCAGTCACTTATTATAGTTTCAGTCTACCGCTCACCTAATGGTGATTTTGGCACTTTCATTGACTTGTTGGATAATTTACTGAACTATCTATCCAGACTTGGAAAAACTTTAATCATTGGTGGGGATTTTAATGTTCATATGCAGGATACATCAGACGAGGAGGAGAACTTCACCAACCTACTGCGGACTTGGGGGCTCTTCGTGGGAAACAGATACCCGACTAGGAAGGAGTCCAGCCTGGATACCATTGCTACAAACCTGGACAAACCATTGTACAAAGTAAATATTGTGGAACCTTTGGTCTCGGACCATTCTGCGGTTCTACTGAGTGTCAAGACGCTACCGGTGAGTCAAATTTCTTATCCTGCATGGTGTGCCAAGTACGACATGTTTTTTAGGCCTATTAAAGAGGAGCGTTTTCCTGACCTAAGAAGGAAACTTGAAGGTGTGAAGTGGGCGTCTGTTATAGGAGGTAAGGACCCTTTGCTGGACTTTGATAAATTATTTAATGTACTTGTTGAAAGTTTTAATGAAATTTTCCCAGTTAAAATTAAGTCTAAGGCTAGAAAAGAAGTCGATAAGGTAAAGAGGGACAAGTCTTGGTACACTCCAGCTCTCCAAGACCTAAAAAATGTTGTAGTTCTCCTCTTTGACTATTACAAGGAGGCAGTGGATCCAGCTGTAAAGGAAAGATTTTACCGAGATTACCTTAGAGCTAAGAAGCTATATAGGTCTAGGATTAATGAAGCAAAGAAACTAGGTAATGAAAACTTCATTAGGGGAGCACACAACCCATGTAAGGCTGCGTGGGAAATTATAAATAGCCATCGCAGAAATCCAAATAAAAACTTGATCAATGCTGCAAGCCCAGATGAATTCAACAGTTTCTTCATCAACTCGGTAGATGCTATCTTAGGCCAAATTCCCCAGGCTGTTGGCCGACCTGAGGATGAAATTTCCCTTCCCCCAGGTTTCAATGCAAAGTTAGCATCATGGAAAACTGTCAACCCTGATGATGTAAGGAATATTGTGAGGAAAGTAAAAAGGTCTACTAGCCAGGATTTCTATGGCATGTCCTCAGTGGTTTTGAAGGAAATTGTCGATCTCATCGCTGGTCCCCTCACCCATGTTATTAATGGCTCCCTGGCAGCCGGTGTCTTCCCTGAATGCTTGAAGCTTAGTAGAGCAGTGCCTATTTTCAAAAAAGGCAACCCTGAGGAACTGAAAAATTATAGGCCTATTTCCCTGGTTCCTGTGATAGGCAAGATAATTGAACACATTATCCAGAAGCAGCTGGCGGACTTTTTTGAGGATAATGGCCTAATGTTGAGTAGGCAGTTTGGTTTCAGGAGGGGCCGGTCAACTTCAGACGCAGTTATGGTTCTAGCTGAGGAAATCAAAAACGCCTTTGAGGCAAGGGACAGTGTTTCTATCACGCTTTGCGACCTCAGCAAAGCGTTCGACTGCGTGTCGCACAGTTTACTGCTGGAAAAACTGAGTCGCTATGGTGTTGAAGGAGTTGCACTAAAGACCATCAAATCTTATCTTGATAACAGATACCAGGTTGTCACAGTTGGTGGTGCCACATCTGGTCCACGCCAGGTTTGCCACGGAGTCCCTCAGGGCTCGGTCCTGGGCCCTCTTCTGTTTCTGATTGTTGTGAATGACCTCCATCTCCAGGGCAGAGCACTCCTGTATGCTGATGACACCTCAATAATAACTAGAGGGAAAGTTATAAACCAAGTTTTGATAGAGGCAGAAGCTGCACTGGATGCTGCTAAAATCTGGTTTGCCAGAAATCGGCTACAGTTGAATGGAGACAAGACCCAGAGAATGTTATGCACTTTAAGCAAAACAATGAATATTAATCAGCAAAGCAGCGTGAAATTGCTGGGCTTCAGCCTAGACCCTAAGTTTACCTGGGAACAACATATCAGTGATGTATGTGTTAAACTCTCCCGTGTGGTCTTTCTTCTGTGGAAACTTAGGGGGGTCATCACTGATAAATATTTGATAAATGTATATCATGCCCTATTTCAAAGCCATATCAGATATGGAATCCTGCTCTGGGGACATGCTCCTGGCTGTATAAAAGTGCTTCGTCTGCAGAAGAAGGCAGTCAGAGTGCTGTCAGCCGCTGGTTATAGAGACCACTGTAAGCCCCTATTCGCCAACCTTAAGGTTATGACCATCTTCAGCCAATATGTTTATTACGGCTTGATTAATCTCAGAAATAACATGGGTGAATATCAACAGAGGGGTGATCTCCATAATCATGACACCAGGCATGCACAGAAACTTGACATTCCTCGATGCAGGTTATCAAGATCCTTGGCAGCCCATCCCATCCCAGCCATGCGATTCTACAATATGTTACCGCCCCGGGCCCACACTGAAGACATGAAAGCTTTCTCCATGCGGATTTTTAACAAACTCACAAATGAGCCGCTGTACTCTTTTGAGGAAGTGTCTGGCGAGTACTTCTCGAATATATAATATGCACCGCCATCACTAGTTTTTGTAAATATTGGTTAAATAAGAATGTTATTTTTTATAAGTTTTATAACTGTAATTTAAATTGACGCAGTCTATCCAACAAGTGTTGGGCAACGACATAGGAGTTGGTTTGTGGTTTGTGGTTTGTGGCTTGTTACTGTCAAAACGATCGTTTGTAGTTTGTCACGACTCACCCCTCAGCCGTATCACGTGTGTTGTTACCGTCGTCTGGTCGACCAATATTAAATGTTTCATGTTTCCGTGTGTTATGTGTTTTGTTGTCTATTTATTATTAAACTTTTGACGATCTCCAATACGAGGAATATGAAGACTATTTGACATTCTTCTGACCTGATGATGTGCTCCATTCGAAGCATGAAACAGCTGTAGTCTTACAAACTACAAAGGATCGTTTTGACAGTAACAGCGTAATTTAAACCACTATAGGTATAGTTAATTCAGACGATCCAGAGGCCATTCCACCATGAAATTTTAAAGAAACATGCTTGCCAATTAATATATACTAGAGTTTACTAGAGAGTTGTTAATTATTAAATATTATATAACAGATCTATCTTCTATAATATTAAAACGAAACAGGGTTTTTTTATTTCACAATTCTGAATCAACCACTTGACGGATTTTCATGATTTTTGTGTTGAAAGAAAGATAATTTTGAGAACTAGGGAATGTCGAAGCCATAATTTTAGTTTAAGGTTTCAGTTTTTTAGAAATTAAGTTTTAATTTTTTAAAAGATTAGCAGCCGACGCTAGCAATTTAAAGTATTTTCAATACTAGTTGGTTTAACTAACAGCTGGTTTATAACTGTCATTAAAATGTTTATGTTACGAGTTGTTTGTTTACAAAAATATTGTTCGTTGGTGTTTGCTTACCTTACATACTATTTCACTTTAAAATGTAGGTAGTTTTCCCTTACCGTAAAGGATCTGCGTTATCAGTAAATGTGTTATTTTGAACTAAATATCTCAAACACTTGCGTTTAATCAAGTTTTGTCGTAAATGCAATCCATAAAGTATTTAGTTTATGCATTGCAAATTTCAACTCATATTTGGGAAATATTTTTTCAGCAGTTTATCGCTTAACTGTTTAAGATATAAGTGGTTTACGTGTTGATACTTCTTTTTCTGTATGTTTGAATGTGAGTTTGTCGGCATACTAAAATTTTGGTTAGTAATGAAAGCGTCAATCGGGTAGTAGGTCTCTATAAAACTGTTAAATAAACTGCAGGGTGCAGCAGAAACCAAAGTCGACTCATACCATACCAACAATCCCCGTAGTACTGATGATTCAGAAACCTGGGTACTGATGATTCAGAAACTTGGGCACTGACCAAAGAACCGAAAAACCTTAATGATGGGTTAGATAATAAAGTGCAGAGAAAATATACAGACCAGTTCAAGATAACGGCCCGGAGGTCGAAATAAAAAAGAACAGAGAGCTAAGAGAAATGTGTTAACAGCCAAATATAGGGATGCTTTCCAGAAGTAGGTAAAGCTTGGATGGACAGGCTGTGCATAAACTTTTTAAAAGTATATTCCAAGGAGTAACACACAATAGACGGGAAATATCAAGTTATGAAATGCATCCTCAGACTGGGATCTAAATTTTGAAGAGGCAGGTGATAGAAGAGAATCCTCATAAAAGTTTCAGTGGTCACGGAGGTAAGATAAGGTACGGTAAGTACATAAGTAGTACAGTATGCAATTGGAGGTGGCAGCTACTCTACTCAAAACCAGTGTGAATCGGTCGCCAATCTCACTTTAAGATTTTTCAAATCGACACAAATGCTGTTTTATGGTAAAATTATCGGATTTAAAATACATATCGCCATATTTTAGGTCTATATTCGAATGGAATAAATAGGTGGTCACGTTACATTTATTTATAAGGTGATCTTCCCCATTAAAACTGCCAGAATTTGTGTCTATGCGTGTAAACTAGATGTTCTGAATTATTCCGTTTTAGTTGACAACTCGATTCCCGTACACGTCGGACGGGCCACCAGCTCGTTATTTAAATATTTAAAACCAGTACTGCTTATTGTTGTAACGTTCTTGAAGATAAAATATTCCTCCCAGATTTTTACTTATGTGCATTATTACAATGAATGTTAATTTTTATTTTGAGTTGACCATTGTACTGTAGCATAATCAAGTATAATACGGTAATATGATTTTGTTATTTTTCACAGTAGCTTTTATATTGTTACAATAAGGTTTCCCCCGTTACAATACTGTATTTTACTTGCTTTGTTATGTGCCAAAACATACTCTAGAACGTAGTTGAGGTTATGTTTGCTTAGCATTTGTTTGATTAACATTTTTGAAAGTTTTATTGTGAATAAAAGAGATCCTCTTATAAACCGACCTTTTTTGCGTTCCGACCATACCCCTAATCCGCCTTATCGAGGCGGCTTTTGTGAGGTTGTACTATACTGTTTTTAGGCAATAGAAAAAATACAAAAACTAGCATTGTTGGTTATATTTTTGTTTCACAAATCCAATAGGCCAGTATACAAAATCTACCAGTAATATGCTTCATTGAGACCAGCTAAAAATAAATACCTTTTAAGTCTTGCTAATTTACAAGGTCTAAATTGTCTTGATTGACAAGCAACTACTCAAAATTGTTTCTTCAAACGCTTTGCTACACTACAGCTTTACCATCTAATTAGATTTGTTTCAGATATCTCATTGTTTTTAGTTGGATTTTATACAAGATCACAAGCTGAATCATTATTTATCAGTTTGGATGAATGATCACAGATTATTAGCTGTTTTTCTAAAAGCGTCTATTGTTTTTCTTCAACCAATTAGGAGATAAGAAATGACTGGACACCACTACTACTCACAGACAACCTACATTAATAGAGACTCATTATCCTCTTGTATTCACCATTTGTAATCACTATTTTCACTTAAAAGTGTCCACATAAACAGTTAAAATGTAAAAAAAAAAACCGCCACAGCAAACCTGCAGACTAAGGGAATTTCCATTGGCCTGATTGGATTTAGGCCTACACTAAAAAATCTCCTTAAAAATATCACATTTATTCCCTATTTAAATAGAATTAATTTAATTAGTACTTAGGTTTGCTCCAAATGGGAGGGTAAAAAAAATATTTTTTTTTTGTAAAATGTTAATAGTTTAGTAAGAAATAAGTGTATTTTCCAAATTTGATCAAAATATGTTCATAAACAAGCAAACTACAACCAGTTTACTTATTCTCCATAAGAATAACATGGAAATTTTTAATTTACAATTTTTTTTTATTTTCTCCATAACCATTAGGTGCATAATGACACTTCAATATACTAAATTATTTGTTTTTTAAGCTCTATAAAATGTTTTGGAAAGAAATTGCTAAATGTTATGTTTTTTGGGTCCAAAATGGGACCAATTTTCACACCATAAAACTCTCCATAAACCCCCGTTCCCATAGTCCGATCATGCTGGTTCGTGAACTCGTTAGAATAAATGTAGGTTTACACGTTTATACCAAATTTTATCAAAATCGGATTATTTTTGTTTGAGTTATCGTGCTAACGGACAGATATATATAGGCTATATATATATATACATACATACATATTGGCCTGATTTTGATCAAATTGATACCTTAATAAATTCTTCTCAGACTACTTGGTAGAGTTATATGACTTTTCTATGTTTCCATAGTTTGCAAATCGGTTCTTTCAATGATTGCTCAAGAAATACAGTACACTGTGTTAATTGAGTTGTCTTATTTGGTGAAATACTGTATATCAAATTGTCCAAGATTTCTCACTTTTTTAATTGTAATATGTACCCAACCCCAAAATTCAAATAGTAAATGTTTAATTTCAACCAATTCAGTAAAATTTTATGTTTGTAGCATGTATTTCCTTGAATTTCAATAAATATTAACAGCAATTAAATTATCCAGCTGGTCATAATGGAAAAAAATATGTTCTTCATAAGAATAACATGGGAACTTTAAAAGCTACTGGGGCAGAGCACAAGGGATTTTTTCAAAAATTTAGGTCAGTTTGCACATCTAAGCGAAACACTCTTTCCAATGGGACTTGAATGGTCGAAATCGGTTAAAGAAATAGTAGAGGATTTTAACTGACAAATTTTGTGTTGGCGTATAGATTTTATGTTGCCACACATCATAAAACCTATTGCAGTTTTTTCTAACTGTAGCAACATCACTTTTTATTATTTTTATCATATTTACCTAAGTCTTATTTCAAACTTAACATAAAATGTTGGAGGAACTACTATTTTAATAAGTATATTTAGGGGATCTATGACAATTTACTGTCCTTTGACTGTTTTTTGGGACCCTACAATATTTGAAGTGAACCCGGCTGCTGTCCTAGAAGACTTAGGCTGTCCCTATGCCATACAATAATTGAATAAATTATCCACGAATAAATTTACTCTTTAGATAAGCCTATATAGATATACATAATTTGCCTCCAGGATTGATCTATTGACATAAAATGAGGTTACTATCCTGTCGTCAATCAGTCCTCTTCAGTCGTCGGACGGCTTATGCAAAAGAATATGTTTGACATTTGACGACTGAAGAGAAGATTTGAAAATGGGGTTTTAACCCCGAAACTATAGTCATCCAAGACAATAGAGGACTGATTGACGACAGGTTAGTAACCTCATTTTATGCCTATATAGAATAGAATGCTGTTGCAACCTAGAGCTTTTGTTTCATTACTCTGCATATGTCTATAGATAGCCTTGTATCTTTCTCAAGTAAATTGTTCTCTTAAGTCATCATGACCTTCTAAGAGGGAGAACGAAAGTATCACTTTTATAACAGATTTAAACTTACTCAGTCTGTGCCTGGAAAGTGGAGACAGCGGGTAGATTTCATATTTAACAGGCTGATGCTGTACAATCTGAAACAAAGGAAAACAATCAAATATTGTTTCACTCCTTTTAAAACTAACACTTGCAGTAAAGGCTTCCAAAGCTCCTCTTAACTACAATACTGTGATTTTATTTATATAAGATCGTGTCTTATTACAAGTAAACTGTGCTGACGTTTCAGACTTATTACTTATGGATGGCTATCTTCAGAGCCATGATACGTTTTCGGGACACAACTGTTTAACAGTAAAAATTAATTAAACCATGTTTAATGTTGTAAAATAATAGTATCTATTGATAAATAAATAGAATTGAGTGGTTGTATGGTACAAAAGAGGGTACCTATAATGTTTTAAAGGTTGTTATAGATATTTTCATTACAAGAAAAAAGTGCACCTTTTGTCATCACCAAAGATGTAGGCTATTGCAAAAGATAGGCTAAATAAAAGTTTATAGATAACATTCTAACATCACGATTTCTTTGTTATTAAATAACTTTACCCTTAATTGTAGTACAAAATAAAAAATCTGTGTTGCAATGGTTATTGCACCAGGTAAAAGAATTGTTTGCAAGATCCCAAAATTAGGGAAATATGTAAGATATAGGTTAAATGCTTTTAAGTTGGTGGGAACTACCTATGTAAAAGATTAAATTAGTATATATGTGTAGATTGAAAGTAGAGCTATTAATTTAAAAAGGTACAACTTGTATTTCCTCTATTTCATTTGTTAGCTGCTTATTTAGGCCTACATCAGCAGAATTTAAAACAAGCTGGAACTCGTTTTGAGAGGTTATCTTTATATGAAAAGTATTTTTGTTTCCTACCTTAGTTCATTAAATTAATGATGCAATAAGTTATAACAAAAAATAGACAAAATAGCAAAAAGTGTCTTTTCAACCCTCACTTATTTTTCAATCTTGGCTTGATAATAAAATTTGAGCTCAGGTCGAAAGGAGTCACTCTACGCCCTTACACTGGTGAAATATACTATTAAAGACAGTCCCCAGTTTTAAATGTTTTGAATTAGAAATTTCCCCGTCAAAATTTAAATTGATCAAAAAAGAAAGCCCAGCTCATTAATACCTATTGCAAGTTTCTTACTTTACGGTACAGCGTCGAAAGAGAACCAACAGAACTTTCAATCATTAATAAACGCTCTAGGACTATTATGGTGATATTTTTTTATTTTGGTCTCACACAATCTTAAACAATCACTGACTTATTGTCCATAAAAATTCCAGATTTCTAAGTTAGCTGGAGACTTTGCATAAAAAGTTTCTTATAAATTTTTTGTAATAGGAGAAATAAAATTAATTTTCTTTTAAAAAAATGTCATTAAGATTCTGTATCAAATGCAAGAACAGGCAGGAGATTTGCTTTTTGGTGGTTCGAAGCTATACCCAGCTGTTGATCATTGGGCTTTTAATAAGCGGTCCTGACTAATGAAACAACTGGTCTTAGTCAGGAACGAAGCTACAAAAGACATCATACTCCAATCTACACTCATCCTTCACTCATATTTGGGTTAAAATACACAATTGATATTGATATATCATCAAGAGCGGTCCTAGACATATATTTTGGGGGGTCCCAGGGAAAAATTTGAAAATAACGTGCTTAAGTGAGTGGTTTTTAAGCTATTTTGAGGACCTAGTTTAATGTGTTCAAGCTTCCCAGTTTATTTAAAGGTCAAAGAAATGTTTGAAAATAAACTTGTATAATGTCATGTTTTTGCATTATTGAGACTTGGGGTTTTAAAAACGAAGGAATACCGCAACATTAAAACACATTCAAGCATTATTGATTTACAAAAACGCCCTTTTAACTGGTGCGGATGTGCATGCTAAACAGAAAATTTCCAAAATCAGACCAAGATTTTGAACCAGAGAACTTATTTTATCTAAGAAGTGTTTAATAATTTACACCCAACACGACTGCATTATACCTGCCCAGTAAGCAACAATTAACCTACACAAAGTACACTACCCAACTAACGTTGCCGTCATCGAAGTATATAACACAACTTCGAAGATGTGTTATATACTTCGGTGGTTGCCGTCCCCCTAACTAACTGCTACCCTGAAGAATTGGTTCTCAGTGTTCTCATTTTTTTCCACCCCAGTGGCATTTTACAAGGGGTCAACGTGAGAATAAAGTTTTTGTGCAACGTTTTTGTGGTTGTGCCGGGAATTAAATCCGTCCCTTCCGCATCCAAGTCTGAGACTCTACCATTATGTTGTTGTTTCGTGGCTAGGAACATACCAATTGGGTAGTGGTATTCTTAAATACCTATGATATCAGGGCTCTAAATATTAATACTATTTTATATGGAAAGTTTTAAAATTTGCTACGGTAATCATTGAATTACATTACTGTAATTACAAATTCCTAACGCTGAACTCAGATAAATTAATATTCAACTACCTTTCAAGCTTTGACTATTGATGAAACTTCTTTTCTTTGTCCAATACCCAATTCAAGTTTTCAATCATCTAGGTTAAAATGAATGATAATATTAAATGCCGAAAAATTAAATAAGAAGAATGCGTGTGAATATCGAACGCTAGCATCGGACACTGCTGTTGCCGTATATGGCTGAAAGCGTCCATCGTCTGCCGATCTTCCCTACTTTTCATAACGTACAAAAAAAATCTGACTCGAAAGATCCCAAGTTTTAGGTTAGAGTTTGTAATTAGTCCTTTTGTTCGCCACAAGTGTAAAGATTACAATACAATGAATTTGGTAGAACGATTTGCAATAAAAATTATTTAAGTTCCCCTGGTATAATAGTTTATCTATATAATATAACAAATATTTAGGGGGGGGGGTGGTCACGACCCCCCCCCCTCACACCGCTCGCCCTTGTATGGCATAGGCATGAGTTGGAGATATAATGAGGCTAGGTTTAACTCATATTGCCTGTCTTTGAGGAGGTACTTTAATACTTTATTATGAAATGGCAGTTACAACAAACACCTGACCATCGCTGTCAAATCAACCTCATGGGCGGCAAATTGTTGTGCAAAGTGAAACCTACTTTAGTTCACTCAAAGGATTTCTGACCGAAATGGAGAGATATAGCTACTGTCAATAATATTTCCAGTGCATTAGTTTTTAATACTCTAACCAGTAAAGCTTGTTTGCCAGTTCAGAAAACATTTTTTTTCAAACCCCCGGAGTTCTTATATAGGTCCACTATTAAGAAAATGCAATTCATTAAGTCCCCTAAACTTCCATCTGAGCAACAACTGTTTTTACTACCAGTCCTGCTACATATGGCAAACCCCTCATGGATTGCACAATAGAACTAAACATTTTCTTGCTGGGATTTGAAACCCACCATCTTCAGTGCCGTTTTCGGATCAAGGTGATAAAAGCTTATTGTGGCCATTGTGCAGATAATATAACAGTCGGCCACTCAATCAATTCAGTATACAAAATTCCGTAGTGTTGGTACGGTTTGCCTCCTAAATTACGGCAAACATCATACACAGTCTTTAACAGTTTTTATTGAGCTCAACTAACATACAACTTAAGTTAATAAAGTTGTAGGAGAGTTTTTGTTAGTCATGAGAGGTGTTGAGTTAAAGGGTTAAAAATCATAATTGATATGCTCTTAAAATCAGAAAAATTTTACTACTTTTCTGAAAATAAAACAATGTATCCATTACTTTTTACCATAAAGGGTTCAAATCCTAGTGTGTACAAGTTTTACAAGTGCCTGAGTTATACTAACATATCTATAATTTTCTAGCATCCTTTGATTGTTTGTCCATATCAGTTCCTTATCAACCCAGGACTAGACAACAACCATTCTCTAGTTTGCCTACAATCTGTGATTATTGTTTTCTTCTCCGAGTTTGTAAACTGAATACTATTCCAGATGGCCCAGATACTCAAGCAACGATGTCTCTAGCTTAGATTCTTTCTTAGGATGGATCAAACACGTGCTTTTCCAATTATACAATCTTTAATACACGTGTCACCTTTAATGTTCTCCAAACTCAAGAAGACCAAAACTAACAGAAAAAATTTATAAAAATTATAATTTCAGAATAATTGTAGAAGTTTAAAGTGTGAATTTACTGAACAAGTCATGGATTTATTAGAAAACTTGGTTATTTCAATATTACAAAATGCTGTATTTACCAAATATTCAAGATGAATGGAAAGTTTGGCATTCAAACGTCTGACCTTGTGACACAGCTTGGAGCCAAATGTTGGCATCTCTGCTGGCACTGGCACATGCTTCTTGGCACTCATCGTTGCCTATTATTACACGAAACCATACAAATATTATGCCTGGATCCCATGAAAGTGAAAACTTATTGGGGAGTGACCTTAGTGGATTTTTATTTATGAGATTTCACGTTCCTTTAGAGAGAAAATAGAATCCTTTGAAATTTTATTTTGTACTTAAAATCTACAAATTAAGCTACTTTCTTTAGGTACCTCCACAACTAGCAACGAGGACTTAAGTTTGAACTGCAAAACTAGAAGAATGTTAAATTATGATATTCCCTGCTCAGAAATCTAAAAAAATAAAACATTGACTACTTACATGTAACTATTACTTAAACACTACACTAACTAAATGAATAAAACTATGAAAATCTTTTTAACGGTATTGGGTTCTTTATTTTTTTTTTTTTAGCGAATTTCCCTATAGGGAAGTAGCTATTACCGTAGGTCTCATGGTAAGACTTAGGCCCGGGACCGATTTACTTTTTCATTTTAATGTCCCCAGAGGCCAAAAACACCATTCGTTCAAATTTTTATATATGTATATATATATATATAGGTGTATATATATATATAGATTTATATATATATATATGTGTCCGTGAACACGATAACTTGAGTAATTTTTATCCGTTTTTGATGAAATTTGGTTTGTAGGTGTAAGGCGGGATAAACTTGAATGAGTTCGTGATCCAGCATGATCGGACCATGGGAACAGGGTTTTATGGGGGGTTTTATGGGGTAAAAATTGGTTTTTCTCACTTCTTACCCTCAAAACACAAAAT